TACCTGTCAAGAAGAACAAGCAATATTACAGGTACCACTGCAAGATTTACCTGTCAAGAAGAACAAGCAATATCACAGGTACCACTGCAAGATTTACCTGTCAAGAAGAAGAAGCAATATCACAGGTACCACTGCAAGATTTACCTGTCAAGAAGAAGAAGCAATATTACAGGTACCACTGCAAGATTTACCTGTCAAGAAGAAGAAGCAATATCACAGGTACCACTGCAAGATTTACCTGTCAAGAAGAAGAAGCAATATCACAGGTACCACTGCAAGATTTACCTGTCAAGAAGAAGAAGCAATATTACAGGTACCACTGCAAGATTTACCTGTCAAGAAGAACAAGCAATATTACAGGTACCACTGCAAGATTTACCTGTCAAGAAGAACAAGCAATATCACAGGTACCACTGCAAGATTTACCTGTCAAGAAGAAGAAGCAATATCACGGGTACCACTGCAAGATTTACCTGTCAAGAAGAAGAAGCAATATTACAGGTACCACTGCAAGATTTACCTGTCAAGAAGAAGAAGCAATATCACAGGTACCACTGCAAGATTTACCTGTCAAGAAGAAGAAGCAATATCACAGGTACCACTGCAAGATTTACCTGTCAAGAAGAAGAAGCAATATTACAGGTACCACTGCAAGATTTACCTGTCAAGAAGAAGAAGCAATATCACAGGTACCACCGCAAGATTTACCTGTCAAGAAGAAGAAGCAATATCACAGGTACCACTGCAAGATTTACCTGTCAAGAAGAACAAGCAATATCACAGGTACCACTGCAAGATTTACCTGTCAAGAAGAACAAGCAATATCACAGGTACCACTGCAAGATTTACCTGTCAAGAAGAACAAGCAATATCACAGGTACCACTGCAAGATTTACCTGTCAAGAAGAACAAGCAATATCACAGGTACCACTGCAAGATTTACCTGTCAAGAAGAACAAGCAATATCACAGGTACCATATATATATATATATATACATACATACATGTAGATTGATAGATAGATCAATACATAGATATAAAGATAGACAGATAGATATGTGGTGCCGTATAGACAAAACTGGTCAATTAACAAGAACTCATTTAACATTAAGTCATTACTAAAATTTTCTCTTATACGTTTAAAGATATATTTTTTTCCTTTATGTTAATGTGAAGATTAACAGTTCCACTACCACTACTACCACTACTACCACTACTACCACCACTACCACTACTACCACCACTACCACTACTACCACTACTACCACTACTACCACTACTACCACTACTACCACACTACTACCACTACTACCACTACTACCACTACTACCACTACTACCACTACTACCACTACTACCACCACACACTACCACTACTACCACTAACACTACCACACTACTAACACCACCCACTAACCACTACTACCACTACTACCACCAACTAACATATCCACTACTACCACTACTACCACTACTACACCACTACCCCTACTACCACTACTACCACTACTACCACTCACTACCACTACACTACCACCACTACCACTACTACCACTACACTACCACTACTACCACCACTACCTACTACCACTACTACCACCACTACCACTACTACCACTACTACCACTACCACTACTACCACCACTACCACTACTACCACTACTACCACCACTACCACTACTACCACCACTACCACTACCACTACTACCACCACTACCACTACTACCACTACTACCACCACTACCACTACTACCACCACTAACACTTCCACTACTACCAACCACTCCCACTACTACCACTACTACCACTACCACCATTACCACTACTACCACTACTACCACTACCACCACTACCACTACTCCCCATTACTACAACTACCACTACTACCACTACCACTACTACCGCTACTACCACTACTACCACTACCACTACTACCACTACCAGCACTACCACTACTACCACTACCACTACTACCACTACTACCACTACTACCACTACTAACACTACCACTACTACCACCACTACCACTACTACCACTACTACCACTACCACCACTACCACTACTACCACTACTACCACTACCACTACTACCACTACTACCACTACCACCACTACCACTACTACCACTACTACCACTACCACTACTACCACTACCACTACCACCACTACTACCACTACTACCACTACCACTACTACCACTACCACCACTACCACTACTACCACTACTACCACTACCACTACTACCACTACTACCACTGCTACCACTACCACCACTACCACTACTACCATTACTACCACTACCACCACTACCACTACCACTACTACCACTACCACTACTACCACTACTACCACTACTACCACTACTACCACTACCACTACTACCACTACTACCATTACTACACACTACCACCACTACCACTACTACTACTACTACTACCACTACTACCACTACTACCACTACTACCACTACTACCACTACTACCACTACCACCACTACCACT